TCTACATTGAAACATCGCGATGGACGATGACATCGGGGGGGGGGATATTTTCGTAATATTCTCATTTTTATTTTCCACTAGATATTATCCTCTATAGCTCATCAGCAATTTCGATGTCGGCAGCTCTGCAGCAGCGAATATACAGTGACGTGACATAACTGGCAGATTCAAACTGCGTGCTTTCGCGCTATGGCTGGCGCTGAGCCAAAGACGGACGCGCCCAGCGTTTGTCATAGGCTATATCACAACTGTTCAGTGTTTTTAACCACATAATGTTTATTTTAGGTTTCAGACATTTAAATACATATAATCTATAGCAAAACAATACATTTATAGTTTGTAAAATACACAATGGTGTCAATGGAAGCAGCAATAACAACCCATTCAAATATATTTGACAACGGTTTTTATTCATATCAGAGAGACACAGTGTAGCAGTAAATAACTATAATGTCAACTAATGTTTTCTCCCAGTTCACCCGCCACTTACTTTCATGTATTTCGGGAGAAACTGGTGAATTCACGCGCTGTAATAAATCCAACAGACAGGAATCTCTGAACTGCGGTCCAAACACGGCGCCCATCTCACGTTACAGAAGATCATTAATAACGTTTTTTTAAACAACAAAAACTCACTTAGGCCTACACATATTTGAGAATCGGAATAGAAGATAGTTCATGACATGGTAAGCAAGTTTGTTAATATTTAGAAATAAAAGCGCTAAATCTGTCATACAGCGCTATTTTGGCTGTGGTGAATCACGTGCCAAGCATGACGCGTCACCATGGAAACGGGACACACGATGTTTAGCCGATGCCGTCTAAACATCGTGATGTCTGTCAGCCATCATGATGGACGATGATATCGTCCATCGGCACAACCCTAGCGCCCTCTTGTGGCGAAAAATTCTTACATATTGTGCCTTTAATAAATAACTAATAATTAATTGTTTAAATCTTTTATGCATTTACTTCATTAGACATGCTATTGATTTTTAATTAAATTAAAGTCCCCCTTTAAAATCCAGCGTTTAATGTTGTTTATGTGTCTATGTGGTGTTTTTAATACGCTTTAAGACACACCATGTGTAAGTTCATAAGTCGACAGCATTGCTGAGTATTTCCTCCTTAAAACTGCAGTGAACCAAAGACAGTCTCAAAAACACGGTTTGAAATCGCTGGTGTTTCTGACGTCACAAACGACCTTGTAACCAATCAGATCAACGTGTGATCGTCAACCAGTGGATCTCTGAGCTGAGGGAGTGAGTGGAGGCGGGGCTCATTTGCATATTCATAGAACCACGCATACTAAATGAGGCAAGGGTGTCGAGTTACATTCAAGATATTTTAAGAAATGAAGACATTTTTATCAAGGAAAAAACTTTTAATTATGTAATTTTGGTGATCAAAGATGAGTTTTAAGGGAAACATTTATTGACTACAGGTTTTTGATTAAATATACTTTTCGGTTACTAAAATTTATTTAGCCATTAATACAGGAACCCAGAAGTAATTAAAATGGGGGGGGGGGGGTGGATTGGGAAAAATGATTCTTCTGCGAGTGTGGATTCAGTGAGATGTTTAGAAGCTGGCGTATCCTCATATCCCTGGATTCCTGACTGTGATGGTCTGATGTTTCAGCTGTTTTCCTTCTCAAGCATCTGCCGTGATCTGGTGTTTGTATTATTAGTGTAATTGATGCCGGCTGGAATGAGATCAGACGCAGATGATTAACTCGTGTTTATAGATCACACAGCGGAGCATGACTGATATTCCCAAAACTATTCCTGCCACACAAATCTCTTAATCCTGTAAGATCCCCGTCATTGGAGGAAGTGACGATAAACTCATAACGGATTATGAACGGCTGTCCTGATTCAGCAGCGCCACCAAACATCTGATCAAAGACATCGAGTGACGTTACACACAATCCCTGATGTGTCTCTGTGTTGAGCGGAAAATGCTGTTCGACTCACTGCCGTGATGCTGGAATGGTGGGCAGGGTGTTGCTATGCAGTTGCTAGGCTGTTTATATAATTAGATTATATAAGTGGGCGGAGGCTCTATGAGTGGGCGGAGACTATGTGAATTGGCAGAGATTACATAAGTGGGCGGAGGCTCTATGAGTGGGCGGAGACTATGTGAATAGGCGGAGATTACATAAGTGGGCGGAGGCTCTATGAGTGGGTGGAGACTGTGAATAGGCGGAGATTATATGAGTGGGCGGAGGCCATATGGGTGGGCGGAGGCTATATGAGTGGCCGGAGACTATGTGAGTGGGCGGAGGCTATATGGGTAGGAGGAGACTATGTAAATAGGCAGAGATTATATAAGTGGCCGGAGGCTATATGGGTAGGCGGAGACTATGTAAATAGGGAGAGATTATATAAGTGGGCGGAGGCTATATGAGTGGCCGGAGACTATGTGAGTGGGCGGAGGCTATATGGGTAGGCGGAGACTGTAAATAGGCGGAGATTATCTGAGTGGACGGAGGCTATATGGGTAGGCGGAGACTATGTGAGTGGGCGGAGGCTATATGGGTAGGCGGAGACTATGTGAGTGGGCGGAGGCTATATGGGTAGGCGGAGACTGTAAATAGGCGGAGATTATCTGAGTGGACGGAGGCTAAATGGGTAGGCGGAGACTATGTGAGTGGGCGGAGGCTATATGGGTAGGCGGAGACTATGTAAATAGGTGGAGATTATCTGAGTGGACGGAGGCTATATGGGTAGGTGGATATTATGTGAATGGGCGGAGACTATGTGAGTGGGCGGAGGCTATATGGGTAGGCGGAGACTATGTAAATAGGCGGAGATTATATGAGTGGACGGAGACTATGTGAGTGGACGGAGACTATGTGAGTGGGCGGAGACTATGTGAGTGGGCGGAGACTATGTGAGTGGGCGGAGACTATGTGAGTGGGCCACCAAACACTGTTGTGGTGCAAATGAACGGCCAGAACGCATTGAAAAGTTTTCTGTTTTCAGTTAAAACTGTGTCGTGTAAGCGGCAGCTAAGTGAATGATCTAATGATCTTTGCAACGAAAGAGAATCAATCAAAACTAACTTAAGCTGGACAATAACTTTATTCTAGAGCTGCTGTAAAGCCAAAACCCTCTCTGTTACTTTAATTTCCTATTATCACTGTAAAGCTGCTTTGAAACAATCTACATTGTTAAAAGCACTGTATAAATGAAGGTGACTTGACTTAGGCGTAGATTGTATGGGTGGGCGGAGACTATGTGAATGGGCGGAGACTATATGGGTGGGCGGAGACTATGTAAGTGGGCGGAGACTGTATGGGTGGGCGGAGACTATGTAAGCGGGCGTAGATTGTATGGGTTGGCGGAGACTATGTGAGTGGGCGGAGACTATAAGGGTGGGCGGAGACTATGTAAGTGGGCGGAGGCTATATGAGTGGGCGGGGTCTAACTGATTGTGTGGACGCAGCTTCATGTGTGAAGATCGATGTCCTGTTCTCCATATCTCCATCATCTGATCAGTCACATGCTCTCCTGATCTGAGTGTCCATGACAGAGATGCAGGTCGAGTTCTTAGAGAGTCACGATCCTCCTCTGAGACGAGTGTGTGAACGCCAGCGCACTGAAACTCCAGGTATTACTGACGTCTAAGTGGAGATCTCGAAAGTAGATGGAGAGCGAAGTAATCAATCCTCGTCTGTGAACCCTTTGGCTTCATTTCTGCTGTGATTATACTGAGAGCGCATGAACATGTGGGACTGAAGAGAGAGAGAGAGAGAGAGAGAGAGAGAGAGAGAGAGATGGAGGCTGAGTGTATTTATAGCACTAGGAATGTAAGTTCTGTAAAGGTTTGGTGTCCTGAGGGATGAATCACCACAAAACAAGACAAAACACTGACAACAGCCCAGAGAGACACAGCCGAGTGTGTGTGAGTCTGTAAGGGAGTGTGTGAGTTTGTGTGTCTGTGTGAGTGTGTGTGTGTGAGAAGTGCATTTATTCAGCAACTACAATCACAAACAATACAGTGGAGATCATGTTTAGATTTATTACAGGTACTGAAGGTTTGATGGCGTCTCGTGAAGAACACGCTGATAAACTCCAGCTCGTGTGTGTGTGTGTGTGTGTGTTTCAGATCATCAGTGCTGACGCCAGATCGCAACGTAAAACACCAGGGGGATTTAAACTCATCTGGCAACCGCAAATATGAACGCTCATAGTCGCTTGATAAAAACACTCTATAATATTTCTTCTGCCCTCTTTTTTTATTGAAGAAAATGTTATTTTGGTAGCGTTTTTTTAAAACTGCATCTTAGTCATCTTTTTCGTCTACAATTTTGCATGTTGTTTTAGGCCATGTCCACACAAACACGATTCGTTTGAAAACGCATCTATCTCTCCGTTTTCTCTTCCGTCACACTGAGACGGAGTTTTTATTAATGAAAACGAAGCTTTTTGAAAACGCTCTCCAAAGTGGATAAATTTGAAGATGCAGATTTCGCGTTGTAGAGTGGACTGTCTAAACAGAGGTGTTTAAAAATGATGATGTAAGTTTAATCATGTGACGCATATTGTACCGATAGATATTAATGTTTATAGCAGTATTGTGCCTGTTATGTGCTGTTCACTTTCATACAGTTGCAGAAATATGTTACTTCACACACTCTTCATATCACAGTCCTGCACAGATGACAGAAGTCACACACATCTGCTGTCCTGCGGCGAAACATGAGCAGTTTTAGTCGCAGTGTTTAATAATTTCGTCTCATCATAGTCATGGAAAAACTCATTTTTTCAGCAGTTTTGGTTAACGAAATAACACTAGTATTCACGTATGTTGTGGATTTCTGTGGACTCTCTAAGTAAATAATCCTCTCTCTCTCTCTCTCTCTCTCTCTCTCTCTCTCCTGTGTGTGTGTGTGTGTGTGTGTGTGTGTGTGTGTGTGTGTGTGTGTGTGTGTGTGTGTGTGTGTGTGTGTGTGTGTGTGTGTGTGTGTGTGTGTGTGTGTGTGTGTGTTCTAGAGCACGCTCGTGCTCGCAGGAAGAGCTTTGCCACGTCGCGGCAGAGAAGCATGGAAACTCCGCCCACTGCCCCTACTCAGCCATTCCGACAGCCTGTGAGTACAGACACCCCCCCTCTCCCTCTCAAAGCGTTCTGATTGGACAGCTCGTGCACTGCATATATAGTAGAGTTGTTCTACATACTGTCACATGACCTCATTGTGCTGTGTGTTTAATTGAGTGAGAGTCGTCCATTTATCATCTCAGGCACTTCATTTGCATATTTAATCCAGGTTAGTGTAAGGATTTTCTCCACTCCTAATAATACTGAAGGACATTCCCGGAGAGCAGGGAACATTCTCTCAAAGTTATGAACAAACATTCGTCCAGTAACATTAATAGAACATTTGTTCAAAGTGTGTGTGTGTGTGTGTGTGTGTGTGTGTGTGTGTGTGTGTGTGTGTGTGTGTGTGTGTGTGTGTGTGTGTGTGTGTGTGTAAGAGAGAGAGAGTGTGTGTGTGTGTAAGAATTCCATGAATGATGTAGAAATAACATTATTTGTTAATGTTTTGAGAACATTATTAAAGACCAGATAACATTGAACGAACGTTCTATTAACGTTACTGAAAGAACGTTTGTTCATAACTTTGGCAGAACGTTCCCTGTTCTCTGGGAGACTATAGTTTCAAACGTGAGAGCAGAATATGAATGTTTTCAGACTGTAGTTGAGTTTGTGGGGATGTTGCGTGTTTAATTCGAGCTCGTGTCAGTGTGAGGTCAGTGTCAGGACGCTCCCGAGATCAGGAGCGTCGTCATGGCAACACCTCGGACCAATGACACGAGCTGGTTTTACTGGTTTCTAAAGACTGCTGCACAGTGGCGGCGACTGGTGTCTTGAGCTCAAACAACGCTAAGAGAGAGCTTACGAATGGTCCAGACCAACCTTACGAAAGTGTGACTTACAGAAGATATACTTAGCGTACGAACGTGTCGGGAATCGTGCCATAAAGTTAAGAGAGAGGCTAAGGAATAGGTTAAGAACTACTTAGCGAAAAGAACGTTTTGGGGAACCGGGCCCAGGTCTTTAATCGTTTTCTCAAAACGTCAGCACTAAAACAGTGTTTATGGAACCTTTTTTCTGAAACGTTTTAGTTAATCTAACATTTGTAATGTTTCTATTTGTTTCAGAACGTTCAGAAAACATTAAAAAGTAATGTTCTCATAACGTTTGAAGAATGAAACAATGGATTGTTTCTTTAACGTTCACATAACCAAGAGAAACGTTCAGAAATAACATTTTTAGATCATAGATCATAGTTTTGTTAGCTGGGAAAGTCAGTTGCGAGTTCCATTTCATGATGACTTTAATAAGAGTTTAAGCATGTGCTAAAAGTGCTCTGAGCTGATGTTTGAGTCACACACACACACACACACGTATGCAGCGTTGCGTGGGCAGCATCTGCACGGTGACTCACGGTGCAGGGACATCATCTCTGGCTCACGTCGCCCTCTAGTGGAGATCCTCCACCATCACACACTACAATAACAGCATGGAAATGAGTGTGTGTGTGTGTTTGTGTTCGCAGAGTTTTCTAAGTCGTCGTCTGAAAGGATCAATTAAACGAGCAAAGAGTCAACCCAAACTCGACCGCACAGGAAGCTTTCGCCACATGATCCTCCCACGATTCCGCAGTGCTGACCAGGAGAGGTATATTTACACACACACACACACACACACACTGCAGCAGATACAGTGACTCACACTCCCATTGTGCTTCAGTGAGTCACAGCACATATAGAAAACTCTGTCTGTCAACCTGAGATGTTTTTTGCATGTACTCTTATTATGTTCACAAAAAACTATTACAATTAATTGAATGAAGCCACACCCACCAAAAATGAGTCAATGGAGAGAAAAACTTATATCTATTTACAAATTGGGACATATGACTGCCCAACTCCAACTTAAACTGGTCATCTTCATACAAAGGTGGACACCTATTAGTCACCTATTAGTCACCCACCTATTATATTGAGGCATTGAGGGTGAACTGATTGGTGTGAAACTTTTACTTATTCCCTGTTGTATTAAAGGGGTGGTTGATTATGATTTCACTTTTCTAACTTTAGTTAGTGTGTAATGTTGCAGTTTGACCATAAACAACATCTGCAAAGTTACAACGCTCAAAGTTCAAAGGGAGATATTTGTTTTTAGAGAATCGTTTTTTTAGGATTACAACAAACGACTGATAGTGACTACATGACATTCCTCCCGGGTTAGTAAATGGACTGCATTTATATAGCGCTTTCACAGACCCAATGGCCACCAAAGCGCTTTACATTTGCCTCACATTCACCCATTCATACACCGACGGCGGTGTCTGCCATGCAAGGTCGTCGGTAGCAGCCGGGGTTAGGTGTCTTTCTCATGGACACCTCGACACTTGGTCAGGTGGAACCGGGGATTGAACCACCAACCTTTCAGTTCGCAGACAACCTACATGAACCACTGAGCCACTGCCGCCCGTCCCCGGGTTAGTGACATCACGAACCCTAAAATTTACAGAAACCCCGTCCCCGGGTTAGTGACATCACAAACCCTAAAATTTACATAAACCCCGTCCCCGGGTTAGTGACATCACGAACCCTAAAATTTACATAAACCCCGCCCCCGGGTTAGTGACATCACGAACCCTAAAATTTACAGAAACCCCGTCCCCGGGTTAGTGACATCACAAACCCTAAAATTTACATAAACCCCGTCCCTGGGTTAGTGACATCACAAACCCTAAAATTTACATAAACCCCGCCCCCGGGTTAGTGACATACGAACCCTAAAATTTACATAAACCCCGTCCCCGGGTTAGTGACATCACGAACCCTAAAATTTACATAAACCCCGTCCCCGGGTTAGTGACATCACGAACCCTAAAATTTACATAAACCCCGTCCCCGGGTTAGTGACATCACGAACCCTAAAATTTACATAAACCCCGTCCCCGGGTTAGTGACATCACGAACCCTAAAATTTACATAAACCCCGTCCCCGGGTTAGTGACATCACAAACCCTAAAATTTACATAAACCCCGTCCCTGGGTTAGTGACATCACAAACCCTAAAATTTACATAAACCCCGCCCCCGGGTTAGTGACATACGAACCCTAAAATTTACATAAACCCCGTCCCCGGGTTAGTGACATCACGAACCCTAAAATTTACATAAACCCCGTCCCCGGGTTAGTGACATCACGAACCCTAAAATTTACATAAACCCCGTCCCCGGGTTAGTGACATCACAAACCCTAAAATTTACATAAACCCCGTCCCCGGGTTAGTGACATCACGAACCCTAAAATTTACATAAACCCCGTCCCCGGGTTAGTGACATCACAAACCCTAAAATTTACAGAAACCCCGTCCCCGGGTTAGTGACATCACAAACCCTAAAATTTACATAAACCCCGTCCCCGGGTTAGTGACATCACAAACCCTAAAATTTACATAAACCCCGCCCCCGGGTTAGTGACATACGAACCCTAAAATTTACATAAACCCCGTCCCCGGGTTAGTGACATCACGAACCCTAAAATTTACATAAACCCCGTCCCCGGGTTAGTGACATCATGAACCCTAAAATTTACATAAACCCCGTCCCCGGGTTAGTGACATCACGAACCCTAAAATTTACATAAACCCCGTCCCCGGGTTAGTGACATCACGAACCCTAAAATTTACATAAACCCCGTCCCCGGGTTAGTGACATCACGAACCCTAAAATTTACATAAACCCCGTCCCCGGGTTAGTGACATCACGAACCCTAAAATTTACATAAACCCCGTCCCCGGGTTAGTGACATCACGAACCCTACAATTTACATAAACCCCGTCCCTGGGTTAGTGACATCACAAACCCTAAAATTTACATAAACCCCGTCCCCGGGTTAGTGACATCACGAACCCTAAAATTTACATAAACCCCGTCCCCGGGTTAGTGACATCACGAACCCTAAAATTTACATAAACCCCGTCCCCGGGTTAGTGACATCACGAACCCTAAAATTTACATAAACCCCGTCCCCGGGTTAGTGACATCACAAACCCTACAATTTACATAAACCCCGTCCCCGGGTTAGTGACATCACGAACCCTAAAATTTACATAAACCCCGTCCCCGGGTTAGTGACATCATGAACCCTAAAATTTACATAAACCCCGTCCCCGGGTTAGTGACATCACGAACCCTAAAATTTACATAAACCCCGCCCCCGGGTTAGTGAGATCAAGAACCCTAAAATTTACATGAATGAATGAATGAATGAGGCATTTATATAGATAGTCACTCTGTAGGCGTCTTACAACAGTTCCACACGAGCGATTTATAGATTATCATGACACAGAATATGCTAATCAAAGACTTGAAGAGAGTTAACTCCACATCAGCTACATAAATTCATCAACTAACCATTCAGAAATGTCCTGTTGCTTCTACATGTTGTAACATGCTGTAAAAAATATTTTGAGCTAAAACTTCACAAACACACTCTGCGAATAACAGAGACTTATTATTAGGGCTGTCAAATGATTAATCGTGATTAATCACATCCAAAATAAAAGTTTTTTTTACATAATATATGTGGGTGCACTGTGTATAATTATTTTGTATATATATAAATACACACACATGCATGTATATTTAAGAAAAAAATACTATTTAAATATAAAATATTTATATTTATATATAATATAAATTATATATAAATCTATATACAGTATATACATGAAAATATTTCTTAAATATATACAAGCATGTGTGTGTATTTATATATATCAAATAATTATACACAGTGCACCCACATATATTATGTAAAAAAAACTTTTATTTTGGATGTGATTAATCACGATTAATCATTTGACAGCCCTACTTATTATACATATTGTAAAAAGGGGAATTATACCACCCCTTTAAAAAAAAAAAATATATATATATATATAGTATATATATATATATTTCATTTTACTTTTGTATAGTGTTTTATGTATTTTCTTTTTCTATTTCTGTATCTCTTTTATTTGGGCCACTGTTGTTGTCAATGAATGTTTACTTGGTTGCTGTAATTTGTTAAAATGTATAAATAAATAAAACTGTGTGTGTGTGTGTGTGTGCAGGACGCGCCTCATGCAGAGCTTTAAGGAGTCGCACTCGCACGAGTCTCTGCTGTCTCCCAGCAGCGCTGCCGAGGCGCTGGACCTCACGCTGGACGAGGACGCCGTCATCAAGCCCGTGCACTCCAGCATCCTCGGCCAGGAGTACTGCTTCGAGGTGTGTGTGCGCGCGGCCACGGCTGCAGTCACAACACTCACGGGGCCGAGCATTCACGGGTTTGAGCCACGGATCGGATTTTTCATATATATATATATGGGGGGGGGGTAACTTTGCTTTTCAATTATTACTTAAAGCTCACTTGAAGTTCTTCGATTCTACATCAATAACTGCTAGCCTAACTGATAAAGGATCCCTGGCTCACACACACACACACACACACACACACACGCACGCACGCACACACACACACACACACACACACACACACACTCGCACATTTGCACACACACACACGCACGCACGCACGCACGCACGCACACACACACACACACACACACACACACACACACTAACTCTCTGTGCTCCAGGTGACGACGGCGTCCGGCACCAAGTGTTTCGCGTGTCGCTCCGCCGCCGAGAGGGACAAATGGATCGAGAACCTGCAGCGGGCCATCAAACCCAACAAGGTACCGCAGCGCTTCACACGGGCTTCCTTCGAGGAACCGAGCTAAGGTTTTCCTGGTTGCGTTCGCACCGCTAGTAACTCTGAAGTGACGAAAGCCACGTGTGTTGAGACTTTTATTTTGACGGCGCTGAGAACGACTGAACACACAGCGCTCGCATTCTCCTGTTCATTAGTTTACGATCTGTCTAACAATCCTGTCTAACACGTTATTATATAGAACTGTTATACATAGAAAGTAGACGGTAATGTAAAGTTATTAGCGTATGGCGTGTGGCTGATGTCCAGTGTTGCTGAGCAGAAATACAACATCATGTTTCTCTCGGTCCCTCAAACCTGTGTTGGATTTTCTCCTCAGCGTAGAATTAGGTTGAGAGCTCCATCTATCCCTGTTTTACATGTTCCTAGAGTTAGTTTCTGGAGTAAATATATATGCTATAATCAGTGTGCTTTTTAAAAAATTGGCGGGTGCTGGTGTTTGGCGTGCGTTCGGCCAATCAGAGAACACTAACGTCACTGTAAGTTTAGACCGACTCTGAAGGAGGAGTAAATTAGTTCCTCCAAAAGGAGTTCCTAGAGCTATAATCGTTCCTAGTTCCTGCGGTGCGAACACGCCGACATCCGGGAACAGACAGTTTCAGATGTTTCATAGCTTCAGCTGCTCATTGTGTGTGTGTGTGTGTGTGTGTGTGTGCAGGATAACAGCCGGCGTGTGGATAATGTGCTGAAGCTATGGATCATCGAGGCGCGCGACCTGCCGGCTAAGAAGCGCTACTACTGCGAGCTGTGTCTGGACGACATGCTGTACGCGCGCACCACTAGCAAACCGCGCACCGACACCGTGTTCTGGGGCGAACACTTCGAGTTCAACAACCTGCCGGCCATCCGAAGCCTGAGACTGCACCTGTACAAGGAGACCGACAAGAAGAGGCGGAAGGTGTGTGTGTGTGTGTGTGTGTGTGTGTGAGTGTGTGTGAGAGACTGCACCTGTACAAGGAGACCGACAAGAAGAGGCGGAAGGTGTGTGTGTGTGTGTGTGTGTCTGCTACACTTGATCTCTGGCCCGCACTAGACTAAGAGTCTCAGATCCGTACAACTCATTCTACTATCAGACGCCTTTATAGCACAGATTAAGCTTTTAGAGAATATACACTGAACAAAATTATAAACGCAACACTTTTGTTTTTGCCCCCATTTTTCCTGAGCTGAACTCAAAGATCTAAGACTTTTTCTACGTACACAAAAGGCCTATTTCTCTCAAATATTGTTCACAAATCTGTCTAAATCTGTGTTAGTGAGCACTTCTCCTTCGCCGACATCATCCATCACCTCACAGGTGTGGCGTATCAAGATGCTGATTACACAGCAGGATTATTGCACAGGTGTGCCTTAGGGCTGTCCACAATAAAAGGCCACTCTAAAATTAGCAGTTTTTGCAATATATACATGCATGTATATATTTAAGAAAAATGTGTTTATATTTAAAATATTTACATTTATATACATATATAATATAAATTATATATAAATATATTTACAGTATATACATGCAAATATTTCTTAAATATATATATGCATATGTGTGTGTTTATATATACAAAATAATTATACACAGGACACACACATATATTATCTAAACACAAACTTTTATTTTGGATGCGAATAATCGTTGCCCAGCACTAAATATTTTATAATCAAAAAGCTTGTCTAATTAATAGGGCCCAATGAATTTTAAATTCTGAAGTGAAATTCTTTGTTGTCTGTTTGATTTTTTCCGGATTCTGCGTTTTATGATATAATACAAATGTATAACCAAAAAACGATGGTCATCAAATAAATGCATTAAACTTATATGATTAAAGTAATTTTTAAAAATCAATCAAATTAATATTGTAACAATTCTTGTTGTATAAAATTGATCAATATATTATTTAAGTACTTATTTACTTAAATACTTGTATTTATTTATTTATTTTTAATCAAATGTATCATGTTTTTATTTATTTATTTAAATAAAATATTTCATTTATTTTATCTACATCTATTATATTAATTTGTTATTATCAATTTATTCCTTTATAATCAAATTTATTAAATAATTTATTTTATTTTTATTCACTCATTTTACTAATCTTTATGTTTATCAAATTAGTCAATTATTTATTTAAGACCCCAGTCATTCCCTCGCAGCCCCTGAGGGCCCCGTAACCCTGTCACTCCTGAGGGCCCCGTAACCCTGTCACTCCAGTGGGCCCCTGACCCCTGTCACCCCTGAGGACCCCTATCACTCCTGAGGACCCCTGTCACCCCTGAGGACCCCTGTCACTCCTGAGGACCCCTGTCACTCCTGAGGACCCCTATCACTCCTGAGGACCCCTGTCACCCCTGAGGACCCCTGTCACTCCTGAGGACCCCTGTCACTCCTGAGGACCCCTGTCACCCCTGAGGACCCCTGTCACCCCTGAGGACCCCTGTCACTCCTGAGGACCCCTGTCACCCCTGAGGACCCCTGTCACCCCTGAGGACCCCTGTCACTCCTGAGGACCCCTGTCACCCCTGAGGACCCCTGTCACCCCTGAGGACCCCTGTCACTCCTGAGGACCCCTGTCACTCCAGTGGGCCCCTGACCCCTGTCACTCCTGAGGGCCCCTGTCACTCCTGAGGACCCCGTAACCCTGTCACTCCAGTGGGCCCCTGAGCCCTGTCACTCCTGAGGGCCCCTGTCACTCCTGAGGACCCCGTAACCCTGTCACCCCTGCGGGCCCCTGACCCCTGTCACCCCTGAGGACCCCTGTCACCCCTGTGGGCCCCTGACCCCTGTCACCCCTGAGGACCCCTGTCACCCCTGTGGGCCCCTGACCCCTGTCACCCCTGTGGGCCCCTGACACCTGTCACCCCTGTGGGCCCCTGACCCCTGTCACTCCTGAGGACCCCTGTCACCCCTGTGGGCCCCTGACCCCTGTCACCCCTGAGGACCCCTGTCACCCCTGTGGGCCCCTGACCCTTGTCACCCCTGAGGACCCCTGTCACCCCTGTGGGCCCCTGACCCCTGTCACTCCTGAGGACCCCTGTCACCCCTGTGGGCCCCTGACCCCTGTCACCCCTGAGGACCCCTGACCCCTTTCACTCCTGAGGACCCCTGTCACCCCTGTGGGCCCCTGTCACTCCTGAGGACCCCTGTCACCCCTGTGGGCCCCTGACCCCTGTCACCCCTGAGGACCCCTGACCCCTTTCACTCCTGAGGACCCCTGTCACCCCTGTGGGCCCCTGAGGACCCCTGACCCCTGTCACTCCTGAGGACCCTGAACCCTGTCACTCCTGTAGATAACCAGCATGTGTGTGTGTGTGTGTGTGTGTCAGGAGAAGAGCACGTATCTGGGTCTGGTCAGCATCCCGATCCCCAGCCTCACGGGCCGCCAGTTCGTGGAGCAGTGGTACCCGGTGCTCCAGCCCAGCGCTCTGGCTAAAGGTTCCGGCGGCGGCAAGATCATCAACGCTTCGCTGCGACTCAAGTCTCGATACCAGAGCATGAACATCCTGCCCATGGAGCTCTACAAGGAGTTCGCCGAGTACGTGACCAACAACTACAGGACGCTGTGTGGAGTTCTGGAGCCGCTGCTGAGCGCCAAGAGCAAAGAGGAGGTGGCGTGTGCGCTGGTGCACATCCTGCAGAGCACTGGCAAGGCCAAGGTGTGTGTGTGTGTGTGTGTGTGAGTGACGTAAAAATCATAAAAGTGCATCTATCCATCATAAAAGTTTAGTCAATGATACTCGAGTGGTCATGTGACTCACGTCAGGCGTGTGTGTGTGTGTGTGGGGGGGTTTCAGGACTTCCTGTCGGATATGGCCATGACTGAGGTCGATCGCTTCATGGACCGAGAGCATCTGATCTTCAGAGAAAACACACTGGCAACCAAAGCCATCGAGGAGTTCCTGAAGCTCATAGCGCATCGATACCTGAAGGACACCATTGGTGAGTGTGTGTGTGTGAGGAGGATGATGATGATGAAGGTCTTCTCCACAGGAGAGTTTATCCGAGCGCTGTACGAGTCTGAGGAGAACTGTGAGGTGGAGTGTGTGTGCGAGGAGGATGATGATGATGAAGGTCTTCTCCACAGGAGAGTTTATCCGAGCGCTGTACGAGTCTGAGGAGAACTGTGAGGTGGAGTGTGTGTGTGTGAGGATGATGATGATGATGATGAAGGTCTTCTCGACAGGAGAGTTTATCCGAGCGCTGTACGAGTCTGAGGAGAACTGTGAGGTGGAGTGTGTGTGTGTGAGGAGGATGATGATGATGAAGGTCTTCTCCACAGGAGAGTTTATCCGAGCGCTGTACGAGTCTGAGGAGAACTGTGAGGTGGAGTGTGTGTGCGAGGAGGATGATGATGATGAAGGTCTTCTCCACAGGAGAGTTTATCCGAGCGCTGTACGAGTCTGAGGAGAACTGTGAGGTGGAGTGTGTGTGTGTGAGGATGATGATGATGATGATGAAGGTCTTCTCGACAGGAGAGTTTATCCGAGCGCTGTACGAGTCTGAGGAGAACTGTGAGGTGGAGTGTGTGTGTGTGAGGAGGATGATGATGATGAAGGTCTTCTCGACAGGAGAGTTTATCCGAGCGCTGTACGAGTCTGAGGAGAACTGTGAGGTGGAGTGTGTGTGTGAGGATGATGATGATGATGATGATGAAGGTCTTCTCGACAGGAGAGTTTATCCGAGCGCTGTACGAGTCTGAGGAGAACTGTGAGGTGGAGTGTGTGTGTGTGAGGAGGATGATGATGAAGAAGGTCTTCTCCACAGGAGAGTTTATCCGAGCGCTGTACGAGTCTGAGGAGAACTGTGAGGTGGAGTGTGTGTGTGAGGAGGATGATGATGATGAAGGTCTTCTCCACAGGAGAGTTTATCCGAGCGCTGTACGAGTCTGAGAAGAACTGTGAGGTGGAGTGTGTGTGTGTGAGGATGATGATGATGATGATGAAGGTCTTCTCGACAGGAGAGTTTATCCGAGCGCTGTACGAGTCTGAGGAGAACTGTGAGGTGGAGTGTGTGTGTGAGGATGATGATGATGATGATGAAGGTCTTCTCGACAGGAGAGTTTATCCGAGCGCTGTACGAGTCTGAGGAGAACTGTGAGGTGGAGTGTGTGTGTGAGGATGATGATGATGATGATGATGATGATGAAGGTCTTCTCCACAGGAGAGTTTATCCGAGCGCTGTACGAGTCTGAGGAGAACTGTGAGGTGGAGTGTGTGTGTGAGGATGATGAGGATGATGATGATGATGATGAAGGTCTTCTCCACAGGAGAGTTTATCCGAGCGCTGTACGAGTCTGAGGAGAACTGTGAGGTGGAGTGTGTGTGTGAGGATGATGATGATGATGATGATGAAGGTCTTCTCCACAGGAGAGTTTATCCGAGCGCTGTACGAGTCTGAGGAGAACTGTGAGGTGGACCCTATGCGAACGCCTCCCTCGGTTCTGTCGGATCATCAGGCAAACCTGCGCATGTGTTGTGAACTGGCGCTCTGCAAGATCATCAACTCCCATTGGTCAGTTCAAGCCCGCCACACGTCAGCTGACCCACCAACCAACCACGCGTAACGCGCACACATTTCAAGTTAATATTTTGATAATTTAACAACACATTCGTATGTTTGCGGTTCTCTGGTTTTTATGATTTATGAAGGATTTTATTTTGATTGATTGTTTTTTATTTTTATGATTTAGTTATTTAGAAAGTGTTTTTATTTTTATGGTTTTTGTTTTGAAATTATTTGATTTAGTTAATTATTGATAAGTTTTGTTTTTATTGTATTTATTTGAAAATTCTTTATTTCAATTTTACATTTTTATAATTTAATTAATTAGTACGTTTTTTTATTTGGATGTTTTTTTGTTTTTAAATGATTTATTTAACTTTTACATTTTTATGATTTGAAATTTATTTAATTTGCATTGTAATGATTTAATTTAATCCAACCAGAGGTCGAGAGCCGTCGTTGCAAACACACAACTTTGCTATGCTTGCTATGTTCATCAGAAATGAAAGCTTTAGCGTAAAGTTCTGCCAGGAAGACTCAATGTTATGTCACTTATTACTTTCTGGTCTATCCACTCATTATCTAATACTTGAAGTATAAAAGATTGTTACTTACAAATGTTTGAGTTCGCAGATGATAACGCCAACATTCACCTTCATCCTCCCCACCACCTCCAGGATGGTCCCTGTCCACACCTCCCCGGGTGTCCTTCATCTGTCCACATCTTCCTGGGGGTGTCCTTCATCTGTCCACACCTCCCTGGGGGTGTCCTTCATCTGTCCACACCTCCCCGGGGGTGTCCTTCATCTGTCCACACCTCCCCGGGGGTGTCCTTCATCTGTCCACACCTCCCCGGGGGTGTCCTTCATCTGTCCACACCTCCCCGGGGGTGTCCTTCATCTGTCCACACCCCCCGGGGGTCCTTCATCTGTCCACACCTCCCCGGGGGTCCTTCATCTGTCCACACCTCCCCGGGGGTCCTTCATCTGTCCACACCCCCCGGGGGTCCTTCATCTGTCCACGCCTCCCCGGGGGTCCTTCATCTGTCCACACCTCCCCGGGGGTCCTTCATCTGTCCACACCTTCCTGGGGGTGTCCTTCATCTGACCACACCTTCCTGGGGGTGTCCTTCATCTGTCCACACCTCCCTGGGGGGGTCCTTCATCTGTCAACACCTCCCCGGGGGTGTCCTTCATCTGACCACACCTCCCTGGGGGGGGTCCTTCATCTGTCCACACCTCCCCGGGGGTCCTTCATCTGTCCACACCTCCCCGGGGGTCCTTCATCTGTCCACACCTTCCTGGGGGTGTCCTTTATCTGACCACACCTTCCTGGGGGTGTCCTTTATCTGACCACACCTCCCCGGGGGTGTCCTTCATCTGTCCACATCTTCCTGGGGGTGTCCTTCATCTGTCCACACCTTCCTGGGGGTGTCCTTCATCTGTCCACACCTTCCTGGGGGTGTCCTTCATCTGTCCACACCTCCCCGGGGGTGTCCTTCGTCTGTCCACATCTTCCTGGGGGTGTCCTTCATCTGTCCACACCTCCCCGGGGGTGTCCTTCATCTGTCCACATCTTCCTGGGGGTGTCCTTCATCTGTCCACACCTTCCTGGGGGTGTCCTTCATCTGTCCACATCTTCCTGGGGGTGTCCTTCATCTGACCACACCTCCCCGGGGGTGTCCTTCATCTGTCCACACCTCCCCGGGGGTGTCCTTCATCTGTCCACATCTTCCTGGGGGGGTCCTTCATCTGTCCACACCTCCCCGGGGGTGTCCTTCATCTGTCCACACCTCCCTGGGGGGGTCCTTCATCTGTCCACACCTCCCCGGGGGTGTCCTTCATCTGTCCACACCAGAGATGGGGACTCGAGTTTGAGACTCGGACTCGAGTGCGACTTAAGTCCCACACACAGTGACTTCAGACTCGACTTGAGACTCGTCCTCGAAAGACTTCAGACTCGACTCGGACTCGAGCTGCGGGACTCGTGAACAATGTTTATTTTTAGGAAACGTCTGATGAGCTCGCTGTTATCCCCCTCCCTCCGTTACCTGTAACCTGCCTACGTAACCACGTACTACGTGGCCTATTGCTGGCAGCGCGCGCGCGACCGCACATGAGAGGATAACAAACAAAAAGTTTGACAGCACCGGCCGTTGCTGTGCCATTCATCGTTAGCTTTGGGTTCAAAAACTTCAAACAAGACGCGCTCAAAAGAAGCGCTCAATGCAAAATATGCAGTATCACGATAAAAGATTCTGGCTCAACCACATCTAATTTTATCAGGCATCTGAAAACGCACCCTGATAGGTGAGTAAACATGTTTAGCTCAGCATTGACCATCTACCGTTAGCTTGCTTATTGCTTTAGCTACCTAACGTTACGAGAGGTTAACTCCGACTGTCTTCCTTATGAAATATGAATGAGCGTTTCTTTAATTGCCAAACTTGTGGTGGTCGATTAACGTAACGTTAATCATTTACGTGCCGCTGGCTGCCCGTTGTCTACAAACAGGTTTATTGTTGATCATGTAACGTTACTGTTTCATTTAGTTATAACGTTACACTGGTTTGAGAGTCTGGGATGTGTTGACTTACAGACACAGTATATAAGCTATGATTAGTTGCATAGGCAGTGCAGCCAGAAGAAGCCAGAAATGTTTTGTGGCCCATACCTAGTGTGTTGAGAGAAGAGAAGGTTAACCAGTCTGATCTCACCCTTTTGATTTTTTTATTTCTAAACATTTTGTTCTTAACAAGTTACATGCCATAAGTTGGTCAGTTGCTTCACATTTACACTAAAGATTTTGAGCATTTTAATGTTTTGGAAGTGCACTGTAGTGTTAAAAATTTCATTTGGATGCAATAGTTTATTGGCATTTAGCTACACTGATGTTTTGCACTAAATAGGAGTGTGTCAATTTTAGTGTTGCGAGTTAAATCATTTTCTATATTTGGTCTTATGTCTTGGTATGTTCAAGCTACAAGGCAAAATAAAAAAATTAACTAAAAGTAAAGCATTCTTGGTGTTTTTGTCATGTTGCAATAGCCTGTTTACACTGATTATATACCAAAATCAAAGCTGATACTGTATGCTAATAGATAAAGGAGTCATAATAACATATGGTACCACTTTATTTTGATAGTCCACTTTATACATTCTACTAACTATAAGTAACTTTGCAGCTATATGTCAACTAACTCTAATGAGAGTATTAGTAGGCTGTCTGCTTAATATCTGCTAATTATATATTATAATATCTTATTTTGTTGGTTCCCCAACAGATATTCTACTGACTATAAGTAACTTGGCAACTACAAGTCAACTTGTTCTCCAAACCCGAACCCACATCATAACCTGACAGTCTACTACAGTCTACTAATACTCTAATGAGAGTTAGTTGACATGTAGTTGAAAATGTACATGGTTAGTAGAATGTCTAAAGTGAACTATCGAAATAAAGTGTAACCTAACATATTACAAGCTTTGAATTCCTTACATAAAGCTATGCAGTGTTCTAAGCAACCTGGATGGGTCGCTGTACGTGATGCAACACTTATAACCACAAGAGACTTGAGACTTGACTTGGACTATAGCTCAGAGACTTGAGACTTGACTTGGACTCTAGCTCAAAGACTTGAGACTTGACTTGGACTCTAGCTCAGAGACTTGAGACTTGACTTGGACTCTAGCTCAGAGACTTGTGAGCATCTCTGGTCCACACCTTCCTGGGGGGGTCCTTCATCTGTCCACACCTCCCCGGGGGTGTCCTTCATCTGTCCACACCTCCCCGGGGGTGTCCTTCATCTGTCCACATCTTCCTGGGGGTGTCCTTCATCTGTTCACACCTCCCCGGGGGTCCTTCATCTGTCCACACCTTCCTGGGGGTGTCCTTCATCTGTCCACACCTCCCCGGGGGTCCTTCATCTGTCCACACCTTCCTGGGGGTGTCCTTTATCTGACCACACCTTCCTGGGGGTGTCCTTTATCTGACCACACCTCCCCGGGGGTGTCCTTCATCTGTCCACATCTTCCTGGGGGTGTCCTTCATCTGTCCACACCTTCCTGGGGGTGTCCTTCATCTGTCCACATCTTCCTGGGGGTGTCCTTCATCTGTCCACACCTTCCTGGGGGTGTAATTCATCTGTCCACATCTTCCTGGGGGTGTCCTTCATCTGACCACACCTCCCCGGAGGTGTCCTTCATCTGTCCACACCTCCCCGGGGGTGTCCTTCATCTGTCCACATCTTCCTGGGGGGGTCCTTCATCTGTCCACACCTCCCTGGGGGTGTCCTTCATCTGTCCACACCTCCCTGGGGGGGTCCTTCATCTGTCCACACCTCCCCGGGGGTGTCCTTCATCTGTCCACACCTTCCTGGGGGGGTCCTTCATCTGTCCACACCTCCCCGGGGGTCCTTCATCTGACCACACCTTCCTGGGGGTGTCCTTCATCTGTCCACACCTCCCTGGGGGGGTCCTTCATCTGTCAACACCTCCCCGGGGGTGTCCTTCATCTGACCACACCTCCCTGGGGGGGTCCTTCATCTGTCCACACCTCCCCGGGGGTCCTTCATCTGACCACACCTTCCTGGGGGTGTCCTTCATCTGTCCACACCTCCCCGGGGGTCCTTCATCTGTCCACACCTCCCCGGGGGTTCTTCATCTGTCTACACCTCCCCGGGGGTGTCCTTCATCTGTCCACACCTCCCCGGGGGTCCTTCATCTGTCCACACCTCCCCGGGGGTGTCCTTCATCTGTCCACACCTCCCCGGGGGTGTCCTTCGTCTGTCCACATCTTCCTGGGGGTGTCCTTCATCTGTCCACATCTTCCTGGGGGTGTCCTTCATCTGTCCACACCTCCCCGGGGGTGTCCTTCATCTGTCCACATCTTCCTGGGGGTGTCCTTCATCTGTCCACACCTTCCTGGGGGTGTCCTTCATCTGTCCACACCTCCCCAGGGGTGTCCTTCATCTGTCCACATCTTCCAGGGGGTGTCCTTCATCTGTCCACACCTTCCTGGGGGTGTCCTTCATCTGTCCACATCTTCCTGGGGGTGTCCTTCATCTGACCACACCTCCCCAGGGGTGTCCTTCATCTGTCCACATCTTCCTGGGGGTGTCCTTCATCTGTCCACACCTCCCCGGGGGTGTCCTTCATCTGTCCACATCTTCCTGGGGGTGTCCTTCATCTGTTCACACCTCCCCGGGGGTCCTTCATCTGTCCACACCTTCCTGGGGGTGTCCTTTATCTGACCACACCTCCCCGGGTGTGTCCTTCATCTGTCCACATCTTCCTGGGGGTGTCCTTCATCTGTCCACACCTTCCTGGGGGTGTCCTTCATCTGTCCACATCTTCCTGGGGGTGTCCTTTATCTGACCACACCTCCCCGGGGGTGTCCTTCATCTGTCCACATCTTCCTGGGGGTGTCCTTCATCTGTCCACACCTCCCCGGGGGTCCTTCATCTGTCCACACCTTCCTGGGGGTGTCCTTTATCTGACCACACCTTCCTGGGGGTGTCCTTTATCTGACCACACCTCCCCGGGGGTGTCCTTCATCTGTCCACATCTTCCTGGGGGTGTCCTTCATCTGTCCACACCTTCCTGGGGGTGTCCTTCATCTGTCCACATCTTCCTGGGGGTGTCCTTCATCTGTCCACACCTCCCCGGGGGTGTCCTTCATCTGTCCACATCTTCCTGGGGGTGTCCTTCATCTGTCCACACCTTCCTGGGGGTGTCCTTCATCTGTCCACATCTTCCTGGGGGTGTCCTTCATCTGTCCACACCTCCCCGGGGGTGTCCTTCATCTGTCCACATCTTCCTGGGGGTGTCCTTCATCTGTCCACACCTTCCTCGGGGTGTCCTTCATCTGTCCACATCTTCCTGGGGGTGTCCTTCATCTGACCACACCTCCCCGGGGGTGTCCTTCATCTGTCCACACCTCCCCGGGGGTGTCCTTCATCTGTCCACACCTCCCCGGGGGTGTCCTTCATCTGTCCACATCTTCCTGGGGGGGTCCTTCATCTGTCCACACCTCCCTGGGGGTGTCCTTCATCTGTCCACACCTCCCTGGGGGGGTCCTTCATCTGTCCACACCTCCCCGGGGGTGTCCTTCATCTGTCCACACCTCCCCGGGGGTCCTTCATCTGTCCACACCTCCCCGGGGGTGTCCTTCATCTGACCACACCTCCCTGGGGGTCCTTCATCTGACCACACCTTCCTGGGGGTGTCCTTCATCTGTCCACACCTCCCCGGGGGTCCTTCATCTGACCACACCTTCCTGGGGGTGTCCTTCATCTGACCACACCTCCCTGGGGGTCCTTCATCTGACCACACCTTCCTGGGGGTGTCCTTCATCTGTCCACACCTCCCCGGGGGTCCTTCATCTGACCACACCTTCCTGGGGGTGTCCTTCATCTGACCACACCTCCCTGGGGGTCCTTCATCTGACCACACCTTCCTGGGGGTGTCCTTCATCTGACCACACCTTCCTGGGGGTGTCCTTCATCTGTCCACACCTCCCCGGGGGTCCTTCATCTGACCACACCTTCCTGGGGGTGTCCTTCATCTGACCACACCTTCCTGGGGGTGTCCTTCATCTGACCACACCTCCCTGGGGGTCCTTCATCTGACCACACCTTCCTGGGGGTGTCCTTCATCTGTCCACACCTCCCCGGGGGTCCTTCATCTGACCACACCTTCCTGGGGGTGTCCTTCATCTGTCCACACCTCCCCGGGGGTCCTTCATCTGTCCACACCTCCCCGGGGGTTCTTCATCTGTCTACACCTCCCCGGGGGTGTCTTTCTTCTTTCCACACCTCCCCGGGGGTGTCCTTCATCTGTCCACACCTCCCCGGGGGTTCTTCATCTGTCTACACCTCCCCGGGGGTGTCCTTCTTCTTTCCACACCTCCCCGGGGTCCTTCATCTGTCCACACCTCCCCGGGGGTCGGTTGCGCCCCTGCCTTCATCTTCAGGCAGGATATGCCATGGGTAGTCCGCTACCCTCCAAATGTGAACTACGGACGGGTCCTTTACCATTTTACCAAAGACCTTTATCATTCAATATTTCTGTTTTCATTTTCTGGTCTACTAATTAATAAATGTCATTGTGATATAATCTTGCCTTCCGAGTCTTACTGGTAGAACTATGGTTTCAGGAAACACAGACTCATTGAACTACGCTGATAACGACAGAACTTGCGACTATAGTTGGCTAACAATGATTTCGGGAAATGCACCCCTGATAGTGAATGTCTCTCTCTCTCTCTCTCTCTCTCTCTCTGCAGTGTGTTTCCCCGCGAGCTGAAGGAGGTGTTCGCCTCGTGGCGTGTGCGCTGTGCTGAACGCGGGCGAGAGGACATCGCCGACCGCCTCATAAGCTCCTCCCTCTTCCTGCGGTTCCTGTGTCCCGCCATCATGTCCCCGTCGCTGTTCAACATGACGCAGGAGTATCCGTCCGAACGCACCTCGCGAACACTCACGCTCATCGCCAAGGTGGTGCAGAGCCTGGCCAGCTTTTCAAAGTCAGTCACTAGACTCCAGCGTCATTTAGCGCGCCATCACCAGCTCTGAGCCGTCAATCATCCATCACATGACTCGCGCGGACACGCCCACTCTGACTCCCATTCCCATTCAGGCGTCGGCACCAGTGTTGTTTCAGTAGCGTTAATTTACTGTTATAGTTTTTGTTACAGTTGTAGGTTATATTTTTAGTTTTTAGTTTAATTTTTGTTTAAGTTTTAGTAGTTTTATTATGTAATTTTTATTCAATTTTTTGTTGTTGTATTTGTACATTTTTGTTTCAGTTTTAGTTATTTTAGTACTTCAACTTAAACTACATGAAAATGAGAAAATGTTGACATTTATGAGCCCCACGCATGACATGCAGACAAAAAAAATATATCGTTGAACTAGTCCTTTTCTTTCGTTTTGATCTACTTAAAACAAGGGAACAAATTATTATATAGTGCACACGATTTCCTCTAAAGGAGCTAACGAATTATATTGTGTTTCAGATTTACTTAAAATGAGCAAATTATTATATTGTATGGTGTGTTAGTAAGTCGTGTGAACGAATTGTTAATTCATGGCCACAATATACATATTGTTTCCCCGCATGTCATCTGCGGAGCTCCGTAATTTTATTCCCAGTCATATAAACATGTTTATATAGTTTAAGTTGAGGCTCATAACCCTGGTGGCTCTTGCCGTGTGTGTCCGTGTGTCTCATCATATCTCAGGGTTTATATCTCTGTCTCATGTCGTTTCACAGCGGTGTGTGTGTAGAGTTGAGTCTCATGGCGGTGTGTGTGTAGAGTTGAGTCTCATGGCGGTGTGTGTGTAGAGTTGATGTGTGTGTAGAGTTGAGTCTCATGGCGGTGTGTGTGTAGAGTTGAGTCTCACAGCGGTGTGTGTGTGTAGAGTTGATCTTCAGTCTGTTGGCTCGCCACTTATCATCTTTCTCTCTCTCTTTCTGTCGCCCATCACGCTCTGCCCTGTCTCTCTCTCTCTCTCTCTCTCTCAATCTCTCTCACAAACACACACACACACACACACTGTCTCTCTCTCTCTCTTCTTCACACACACACTCTCTCTCTTCTTCACACACACACACACACACACTCTTTCTCTCTTTGTCTCTCTCTCTTTCTCTCTCTCTCACACACACACACACTCTCTCTCTCTCTCTCTCACACACACACACACTCACACACACACACACACACACTCTCTCTCTCTCTCACACACAC